CTGACCTCTTGTTGGGTGAACAGGAGGATATTGACTGCTGCGGCCAATTGAGCGAGAGAGACCAGCTCTCAGCCAATTGTGGGCAGAGAGACGCCAAGACCAAGAGGCTCCCACAGGTATGGCTGGTGCCAGATGCGCAGACGCAGCAGCCGCACACATTCTTCTGATTCCAGCTAGACTACAGCCTCCACAACCTCCTCGATGGTCCAGTATCTCCAGGCTTCGAGCCACAATCTCTTATCCAATTCAGTCCCTTGCGGCAGAACATCTACATCGTTTTCTCTCGATGGTCGACAGCCACATCAGCGGGAGAGCTCGCCGGCTGACAGCGCTGCCACTCTCTGTCCCCCAAAGTCCCATTCGAAATCTATTTCCTGCGTTGTCATCCTCTCGTATTCTAACCTTGACTTCCGGCGATACAGAGTCCGAGATTGACGGGTGATGCACAACTAATCATTATTGCTCTGTCAGGTTTTACCTCATTCTCACGCCACAAGGTACTGTATACGCGAAGATGCAGGGATTCACGGCCATTACAATTGGAAATGGGGGGAGCTTACGACCGTGCTCACCTGAAAGGGAGTCAAAGAAGGAATAGTCCCAGGAATACACATCTCATCGGATGCTGCACCTCTTCTAAACAAAAGAGAGTCCTCGACACCGGATAGTCATCCCCACCTCCAATGCCTCCAGAAAGCCGAATGCGGAGTTGCAATATCCGGGGTTCAAAGGTCTGGAGAAAACGGACAATCTGTAGGCACAGGCGCCACGGCATTCTCACGCCGAGCAGAGTCGCTATGTTTCAGCATAGGGATCGACAGCAGCGGGCACAGGCGCTTCTGCATACCGGACATCCGGGCTAGAAATTCGATATGAAGTTCAAGACCCTTAAATACGATCACAACAAACTCGACTCAGCAATACATCAACCAGTTCACTTCCCCAACACCCTTCAAGACTGTTCAAATACCAGGACATAGGTGAAATCAAGATGACGGTCGAAGCCGGAGTCATCACAAGCAGCAAACAAGCCTTCAACTTGCTCAATTTTTCTACTTGTTTTCTCCTCGCCCTAGGCTCGTTAGTCTATGGGTATTTTGCGGGTATCATCGGGACTACCCTTACAAAGGCCTCATTCCTATCATACATGGGCCTCATCGATGCTGATGGTAACCAAACAGTGAATGCTCCTGGACTGATAGGGGCAACGACTGGCGTGTTCCAGGTATACACAGTTCTGCCTTCGCAACTGTTGGGATCCTAGTATTGACAATGACTACTAGGCTGGCGGTGTCATTGGTATCATCATTAGTGGTTATTTGGCGGACAAGATTGGACGCAAGCGGACGTCGATTTACATTGGCATCGTCGGCATCATCAGCTCAGCCATCATATCCGCATCTCAGAATGTGGGCATGTTCATCGCTCTTCGCTTCTTTACGGGGGCGACCGGCTTCGCTTTCATGACCGTCATGATCGTCTACTGCGCCGAGCTTGCCCCAGCGGCTCTTCGAGGGTTGTATGTTGGCCTGAATGGAGCTTTGTGTGCATTGGGATTCGCCATCTCATCTTACTTTGGTGTTGCATTCTACAATGTCTCGGACGAGGTCCAGTGGCGCGTTCCTGTCGCTCTCGGCACGGTATTCCCAGTGGTGCTCACATTCGGCTACCTCTTTGTTCCCGAGTCGCCTCGGCACCTCCTCATGGAAGGCAAGAAAGATGCTTCACTGAAAATTATGTTGAGGCAGCACGGCCGGGGGAAACAGGAGGACTTTGCTCGAGCGGAATTCTTCCAGATGGAGAAGCAGGCAGAGCTCGACATGAACAGCGACGCGTCTTGGAAGCAGTTCTACACCAAGCCCTCGGTTCGTCGGCGGGTAGTCATTGCTATCGGTCTAGCATTTCTGTCCCAGAGCACAGGGAACTTGGTCATAAACAACTATGTGAGCACACCGATGCCCAGTGCTATTGTCTTTCCTTTCCTAACAGAGTGAATCAGGGGTCAACTCTTTGGAGCAATCTCGGATATGATGCCTATACTCAACTGTGCTTCCAGGCTGGATACATTACGGTCTCACCCGTTTTCAACGTCATCGGATCAGCGCTTGCTGACCACTTTGGCCGTCGAACTTTGCTGTTCGTTGGCCTCAGCATGTGCCTGATGTGTGTCACTGTTGAGACGACCATGATTGCTCTCTACGGTGCAGCAGGCACGAACAGAGCCGGCCTTGCGACTGGTGCGGCAATGCTGTTCTTGTTCCAGGCCAGTTATGCCGTCTGCGGCGATGTGTGTGTCTTTATCATTGTCAGCGAAATCTTCCCGAACCATCTGCGGGCAAAAGGCAGCACGGTCGCCTATACGGCCAACGCCTTGACGAACTTGGTTTATCTGCAGGTGGCGCCGACAGCCTTTACACACATCCACTGGCGATTCTTCCTGGTAAGTTTTGCGCAAGCCTTCCGTTGTCCGCCTTCATCTGTCTAAAGGTGCCGTTGTAGCTTTTCATCGCAGTTACCGCTTGTGGTCTGGTGTGGGTCTACTTCTTCGTGCCCGAAACGAAAGGCATTGCGCTAGAGGAGCTGGCCGAGATCTTCGGGGATGCGGTCGCGGTTCACGCGGCAGACATCACGGTCGACCACGACGCTCACGAGGTACATCTTGATGTGCACAGCCAGGACGAGGCTGAGTCCTCGTACATCGTGGAAATGGACGCATTCAAGGACAAGGCCAAGCACATGGAGAAGTCCCGCGTTTAGGTTCACACAGGGCGTGTTGGAGGTTCTAAAACTTGATGTGGTTGCGAGAAAATCCGTCGACGTGATATCTGGCACCAGGTCCATCTTGTCTAGGTGGAAGCGAGCGAGGCTGAGGAAAAGGGGAAGTGGATCCGGGGTGGATACGGAGACAAGCCTAATAGATTTAATTTGGATAACGTCTCCACCACAAAGATAGAAACCAAGTACCCTAAGGATTACTACTATTATCCGCTGAATCGACACATTCCAGCTAACAATCTGTCACTTGTCTCTTCCTCCTATCTCCTCTTTGTCCCCCGCATCCGCGTCCAACCCCGCCCCCGCAACCAACGTCGCGACTAACCTCTCAGGGCGGAAAGCTTCGGTCCACGCGGCATTCAGTTTGCCGACTGAAGTTTGGACAGTCCTGACAAGCAGGCATTCTTCGAGACGATGGCTATGGGGCCCGGAATCTCGTATGCCGTGAACAGCCTCACCACCGTTGTATGCTGGAAGCAACGAGAGAAGTGCTGGGGGATCTGCATCGAAAAATGGCGTGGCAAGGCATGGCAGGGTGGCTTTGCGGAAGAGGATGGTATCTATGTATGTCCCGAATATAAAATCCCCGAGCTCTGGGTATGGTCTCGGTCTCTACACTGTCTGGTGGACAGAGAGGAGGGCGTTGATGTGTATGTATATATGAACCTGCAGCGCATGGCTGGTCCCTGTGGCTCTGTCATCTGGAATATCTCATCTTTCCTCCCTTAAAACCCCCTTGATATAATGACCTTGTCTTGTCCTGTCTCCCAAGTCACTCGGCCACTCACTCACTCACTCCCTCCCTTACGGAAGCTTACTTCCCTCCACTAACACCATTCAAATCCTCCCCCGACTTCCACGCACAATACAGATCGATCTTCCAGATCGCCCAGGTCCCGTCCTCCTCGCGCCTCATGGTCCAGCGATACACGGCGCCGGCGTCAAAGTGCCGATCCAGCTCGTCGCGCCGGTACAGCCAGGTGGTGATGCCGTTGGAGCGCACGTGCGCGAGGCGCCGGTCCGCGCTGAAGCTCATGTCGAAGTTGCTGCTCTGCAGGTGGCACTGGGCGTACTGGGCCACCTCGGGGCCCCAGGCCCAGGCGCCGAGGCCTTTGCGGCCGAAATGCTCGCCGAACGCGTACTTGACGTGCGCGTCCTCGGTGAACAGGTTCTCCCATTCCTGCAGGGCCTGCGGGTCTTGGAAGGCCAGGTCGTGCAGCGCAGTGTAGTGGTCGATCAGGCGTCGGACGCTTTCGACGTCTTCTTGTTCTTGGAGGCGGCGTTCTAGTTGGGCCACCTTCTCGGTCAAGGCCACGATTTGGGCCGTGTGGTTGTTCGCTTCAATCCCCATTCTGGGACGGGTGTGCTTGCTTCCTTGTAAGGCGCCGAGTTCTGTATCAGGTAGCGTGTCCTTTCGACTTGGTGAGTGGAGGTACTGAGACGATAGAGAGACCAATCTGTATCTCTAAAGAACTGTGGATTTCACAGGGGTATTTTTGGCTATTTATATTTCATTGTCTGTCAAGGCCCCGGTCGGGCTAGGACGGCCCTCAAGGACCCCGGCCTCCTCGGTGTATTTCGAGATGGAACTCTGAGGGTCTATCTTTCATTTGTCACGGCTACAAATCATTGTAAATCTTCGTGGCTATATGTCGATCGATCTGTGCTTTCAAGGACTAATACCACCGGGCTGTTATGCACGAAAATCCTTGGCGGCATCATTAATGGCGGCATCGCGAGTCCTTATCTGCTCAACTCTGTCGATTCGTATCGTGATATGAGAGAGAATGGGTGGGAGGGACATAGGTATCTTCTGTCTTTTCTTCTGACCTATTGTTCCATTCAGGATGTCTTGTTACGGGAGCAGTAAAATCGTGATACTTCACTAATATGCCAGGGCATGCAGCTCGGTTCCACGAGAATACGGAGCTGGGAAGACGAGATCCAAGCTACGATCGTGAAGAAACAAGACTTGATGGGGAAAACGTTTTCATGAGATCCTGGCACTAGAGTTGCGGATGATAGCTACAGAGACCACCGCATTGACATATTCCACGTCGCCATCACCATCAAAATCCCTTTTTCTCTGTCTTCTAACTATATCCTGCTGTCGCTTCTCACGCTTAAATCTTCGCCGCCAGCTGCGGAGCCTTGTAGTCCGTCGTGAGAAAAGGATAATCGATATATCCCTTGGCCGGGTTCCCTGGCGGATATTGCGCAAAGTACTAGCCCCGTGCTGGATCAGTATCCCATCCACGAATAAATTCAGGGGGAGGACTCACGTCAAAGTTAAAGTCGAATGTGATTTCCTTCTCCTTGCCTGCCATGGCCGCGTTGGCAAAGTCCGGGTTGACCAGCCACGGGCGTCCAAACACGATGACGTCGCCGGTGTCGTCCTTGAGGAGCTCCTCGGCCTCGACCAGCGAGATGGCGCCGTTGAGAAACACTTTGGCGTTCTTGATCAGGTGGCGATACGTCGCCCACACGGGGTGCTTGGGCCCGCGCATCTTGCCGTCGACTTCCATGTCCATGAACTCTTTTGCCGCACACATTAGCTTCAATAGGCTTTGTGGACGTGGGGATCTTTGGGGGAGGGGGGGGACGTACCAAGATATCGGACCAGGTTTATGTATGCCAACGGCCGCTTGTCGAGTTCCTTGATCAGGTACGTGAACTGCTCAATCTGTCTTTCGACCGGGAACATGCCCAGATCGCCTCGACCGACGGCGGGCGACAGCTTGATGCCGACGCGGTACGGACCCCATACTTCGACCAAGGCGTCGATGCACTCTAGACAGAATCTTGCTCGCTGTGAAATATATGAGTTGGTGCCTTGTCACATCCACCGTCGGAAAATCTCGAGACTCACATTTTCGACTGATCCACCGTATGCGTCCGTCCTAATATTGGCGCCGTCGTCGAGAAACTGAGTGAGTGCGTCAGCCACGGAGAGAAATGGTCCCCCAATTGTGAAAAACAGACCTGTGCAACCAGATACCCATTGGCGCCATGCAACTCGACGCCGTCGAATCCAGCGGCTTTTGCAAAAATGGCCGATCGCCGGAACTGCTCGACCACCGCTTTCGGGTCCTCGATGGCCGTCGGCGTGGAATACCCCTTTTCGAGTCCTGGCTCGAGATCATACACGCCGTCGTTGTCGGGTGCGACTCCCATGCGCGCCTGGATCGCGCTCGGGGCGATGGTCGGTCGCCCATAGTCCTTTTGGATCTTTGCGTCCGCGTATGTCATGCGTCCGCCTGTACATCTTCCGAGTTAGCTCGTTGGACGCTTAATAACAGTGATCTGACCGTACAGTGCCACAGCTGACAGAAAAACACCGACCCGGGCACCGTGTGCACCTTGTCGACGACCTTTTTCCACGCCAGCATATGTTCGTGCGTGTCGATCTGAGGCGTTTCCCGCATCGGCGTCCCCTGCGGCTCGATGAGGGCTCCTCCGGCGACGATCAGGCCGGCACCTCCGAGGGCACGCTGGTAGAAGTATTCTCCATTCAGCTCGTTTGGGTATGTATTGTCGGATCTGAAGCGCGTGAGTCGGGTTTGACACCCTGCACCATCACTTTGAAATTGAGACATACCTATTCCGAGAAATCGAGGACATGGCAAACCGGTTTCGAAGCTTCAGCGGGCCGATCTGCAAGGGCTGTTTTAGATGTTTGATCGGGGTGATGAGTTGCTCCATTTTGCAGTGTAATCAATGTTCACAGATTGTCTTGTTCTGCACGAGTACTCTCTTCCTTCTTTCACCACCATTTAACACAAGAAATCCATCCAATATCTCCTTTATATTTCATTTTCCTCATTAGTTAGCACTTTTCTTTCCCTCTCGTATAGACCGAGGAACTGCGAGTCTTCTGTCTCCACACCAATCGCTGAGAGTCTTGGACGGTGTTTCGAAACACCGCTTCGACCAAACTCGCCGGTATGTACCGTTCTAGACTGATTATGTCGGATTATTCATTGTTGTAGCTGGGAGAGGCTGTTTCGGGATTGAGCGATTCCTCCAGCAGAGTCCGATAATTCATTGCACACCACCAAATCCAGATTTACCCGTAAGGTGGGTAGGTTGGGTGCAAACTCGTGGAGAAGACAAGTCCGGAGTTCTCGTCAGCACCTCCGCCTGGGGAATTGCGCTCCCGCTCCTTGGCGATCGGGGTTGGTGAATGCACTCTCACCCCCCTCTTTCACAATGGTAGCTGTACGTATTTGAAAGCAGACTTATGGAGGGATCCCAATATCCGGTCATATCTACCACAACACTATCGGTATATATCGGCACTTCCTCAAGACAACAGGCGAATCCTCCAAGGGCTTGTAAGAACATCAACAACTAGTACTGCAGCTACTACTGCCGTTGTTACCACTAGTCCTAGAGCCACTAGAAACAACACCATGGCACCTCTCAAACCTCTCCTTCTCCACGCCCACAGCAACGGCCCCAACCCGATCAAAATCGCCATCGCCCTAGAATTTCTCCAGGTACCCTACACCGTCCGGCTGTGGGAGGGGGGCGACGACCCGGAAAAGGGCGTCAAGGGCTCAACCTTCATCAAGATCAACGAAAATGGCCGCGTGCCCGCTCTGGAAGACCCCAACACGGGCGTCGTGTCGTGGGAGTCGGGCGCGGTGATGAATTACCTCCGCCGGGTGTACGACAGGGACAACAAGATCGGGCCGCGGGGCGACACGGAACAGGACCGCGTCGACCTCGAGAAGTGGGAGTATTTGCTGTTGACGACGCTGGGGCCGATGAGCGGGCAGTGTAATTGGTTCAGGTGAGCATGATCGATCCACCGTCTACCCTCGATATAGATCCATCCCTCTTGGAGCTTTGGGCGACGGCACTGACAAAAAACCTTCCATCCAAGATTCCACAACAAGACCAAAAACGACGACGCCCTGGAACGCTATCAAGCCCAGACTTTACGGTGCTACGATATCTTGGAGGGCCAACTCCAAAAGACCGACGGCGCCACAATCATCCCCGGCGGATACACCTCGGTCGATTGCCACTACGAGCCGTGGATTCGGTTGCACGGCTTTGCCGGGTTGACGCTGGACAAGCACCCGCTCATCGCAAAGTGGTTTCAGGCCTTTGGGGAGACGGACGAGGTCAAGGCTGCGTACAGGAGGATCAAGGAGGCTGCGGAGCAGGAGGGGTAGATGGGGTACTTGCTAGATGAGTCTAGGCGGCAAGGGAAGGGGGGGTTCAACTAGTGTTATGAGAATAAGTACCTCGAAGAAGATTGTAGGTCATATTTTCGTATCTCGGCACCAGTTATTTGGACAGTATGTCATTCTGGCCATCTCAGAAGCTAGCCTTCCGCCGTGGGTGAAGTTTGTAACAGGTCGATTTTGGCAATATTATTACTACTGTAGTAAGCATTTCCCCCACTTGTTCTCCCCCGCATTACGTCGGATGGGATCGCAGCTGGGGGCGACACGGCGTTCACCAACACCGTCCTGCGGTCGGGATGACACATCCAATGACTCGACCGGACGTTCTGCGGCCGTCACAACCAATGTCCTTTCCAGACATTTTGTAGTACACCCCACTGGGACCCAGAGACCCAGGGAGTAGGGAAAGCCCGTTATATGTGGTGGGTGGTTGGTGGGTGCGCGCGCAGCCTCGTTGCGACTGTATATATCCAATATCCAACCCGGATCACAGTCCTGTGTATAATAAAGAACACAAAATACCGCCTCAGCCACAATTCTCTCACCTATTGTCTTTACCAGCCGTGGAAAAGAACAAAAAAAAAAACCCATTCATCCATCCATCGATCCCAGAATTCAGAACAACAAAGCCGAGGACCATGGCAACCAAGCAAAAAGTCCTCCGCGTGTCCATGTATCTCAAGAGAAACCCGAACTTGACCGAGGAGGAATTCAACCATTACTGGTCGCACGTCCACGGACCGCTGGTGAGGCCGCTGGTGGAGAAGTATGGCATTTTGAAATATACCCAGGTTTGTCGAACCTATCTCTCTCTCTCTCTCTCTCTATCTCTTTTATCTCTTTGGATCTCGGTGGTATACTCGCTGGGGTACGGCCGTAAATCTCACACGACAAAGAGAAACCGCCCTCGTTTCGGTATTGTCGTGGTATTTCTGACAGTTTTATCACACGGCCGCAGTACCACACTTCCTCCGCCGTCCAACAAAGCACAATGGCCGCGTGGCCGGAACTCAAGGCCCTGGACGTGACGCCGTACGACGGCGTGGCCGAATTCCTCGTCCGGGACAACGTCGAGGGCATCAAAAGGTCGCGGGACGACCCGTTCTTCGTCGAAAAGGTCCGGCCGGACGAGGAAAAGTTCTTTGACGTCAAGGGCATGGCCTGGACGATTGGCTGGGAGGAGGTGTACGTCCTCGACGGGAAGATTGTGTCGGACGAGGAGGCGTGGAGACATGCTCCGTAGTGTGGTCTGGATAATTAGTGGGAGATGTAACTCGTTTGGTATCATGGGATTATGCGATAAGGGGTTCTCATGTCACATGTCGATCAAAATTGGGTACAAGTAAAAGTCCGAGATACCCGTTCTAGTTGGCGCTCTACTTTTTATCTCCTGCTAGGATTCAGCTGGAGAGTACGGTCAGAGAGCACCCCCCGCATTATGGATGTTGTCACGTTCCCTGGTGTTCTTCGGTCTTGTAGAACCATATCATGTCGTCCTGCCAGCCTTCATAGAGCAATCCCTCATTTTTCCCGCTCCTCGCAGCATTGTCCGTACCCTCGTCGACTTTAGTGTTGAGCCCCAGCGCAGCCACCAAGAGCTCGTTTTCGTTGTCACCCTTGACAACTTCGACAACTGCTCCGCGGTCCTTGACACCGCTGCTCTCGAATACCGGCTCTGGCTTTCCGGGATACTTGGCGTCTCCTTGACGACCGTATCCTTTTGGCAACCCTGGCGCGGGGTCGTAGCTGAGGTCGCCGTGTGAGACGAGCGTTTCAAGCGCATACACGATCTTGTTTGTATATGGCTGCTTCGTTGACTGATGCAAGAGCAACCGGAAATGGAGACCGCGTTTCCCAAGCGGAGTAATGAGGAGAGGACGTCCGACAGAATCAGGGACTTTCTCCCCATTCCGGATGATCTTGACACCCTCAAGATGGGGGTCTTTGACACCAAGGCAGGTTGAAGCAGCCGCCCGGACCAAAGAAACGGTGTGGTATGCGGGATTGAGGTAGGTGCCTTCAATCATCAACGAAGCGGTGCCGTGGCCGGACATTGGCGTGCACATGTTGTTCGAGCGTTCCGATTTCTCGTCGCTGATGCCCGATCGATCCTCTTGCTTCTTTTGCTTCTCAATATGGTTGCGTCGTTGTTGTTTGGAAACACAAAGTCTGCGTCCTATCAACTCCTTGGCGATGGCTTCGCCAACCGAGTTTGCCATGCCTCCGTTTGTCGCCACCACGAGCCCAAAGTTGTGGTTTGGGACCAGCACGACCCCGAGAGCGAATCCTGGCAGACCTCCACCATGTGAAAGGATCAGAGTACCCGGATACATGTACGGGTCCACGGCCCAGCCGAGTGCATACCCTGTCGGCGTGCTATGGTCGTTTGGTTTTGGCGGCGTGACTTCAGATGAATAAGGTTGTGGGACGATCTGAATTCGCGGAGTGGTAAGTTCTTTCCAGAGTGTATTGCTGATGAGAGAATCTGTCCGATCGTCGTCCTCCCTGGGCTGGGCAGATTCGAGCAAGGACGATACCCATTTTGCGAAGTCGTCGACTGTCGACACCAATGCACCGGCCGGCTCACAGCCAATGATGCTCGTATACGGCTCGGGCACATAATATCCCGTGTCCTCACCGTGTATCTCGTCGTCCAAGCCACCCTTTTTCCAATAGTAACCCCTGGCTATGCATGCCTTATCCACCTGCCCATCCGCCTCAGCTTTCGCCAACTGCTCAATGCCGTACCAGGTCTGTTTCATGGATAGAGGCTTTAAAATTCGGTCCTGCAGAACGTCGAGGAACTCCCTGCCCGAGACTTCCTCTACGACGTTACCCAGAACGCCATACATGAGGTTATTGTACTGCCAAACCGCTCTGAAGCTGTCATCCCGCGACTCCAGGTGCCGGAGGCAGCGCGTTGTGTTTCGCAGTGACCTTCCGAGTATTGGTCCCCACGGAATGTTATGACCTGGAATGCCCGAGCGATGACCGGCGATATCTTCCAACGTCGCGGTCCGCGTGACGTAGTCGGACTTTGTCTTGAAATCATCCTTCAAGATGCGAGAGACTGGGGTCTTCCACCCCTTCTCCCCGAGCACGCTCGTGTCGGCGTCTCGATCATCTTGAATCAGCAGCCCCAACAGAGCGGCGGTGAACGCCTTGGTCGTGCTTGCCATAGGGTAGATGGTATCTGCCCTCGCCGGCGTGTTTGGGAGTCGCGCGAGCCCAAAGCCGGCAGACTCTATCCGACCATCTTCTCTGACGACCGCGACAGATACACCGGGCACATGCTGTTTGGCGAGTAAAGGGTTGAGCCATGCCGTAAAATCATCGTCGAGATAGTTCTGCGACTCTCTGTCCACGCGTCTGATAGTCATACCTTTAATGTCGATTTGTCAAGATACAAGCAAGTGTTTTGTCTCTTGATGCGTCCAGGGAAACTGTTCATGGTCACCAGTCTCTTGTACATTATTATATCTCGGCATAATGTATGGATTTTCG